TAATTTAATTTACGTCTTCCATCTCGAATATCTCGTCGAACATCGATTACCGTCGTGGCTGATTAATTTGGTCGACGAGCGCTTAGAGGGATGGTTACCACGCAAACAAGCGCGTCGCGATACCGCGTTGGGAATAGGGTGCGATCACGCGTTGGCCAAAACACGTCCGCGTTTTCACCGTCCTCGTACCTCAGATTTAGTTACGTAATTCGAAAACGTCCCGCTCTCCCCCCCCTCCTATCGCGCCGCTTCACGTTATAATACGAATGCAAATGCATTTTCCAGGATACAAACGAACGAACGAACGATTCGAAACGTTCGAAGGTTAAATCGTCCAACGTTGGGTGAATTTTGGAAAAATTTCCGCGATTCGATTTTTCCAGACCCAGATCAAATTTTTGCCAAACTTCATAGCAGGATTTTTTCTTTTTTCGCGTGAAAATACATCAAAATACGTCAATGATAATATCACTTTTCGCGTGAAATATTGGATTTTTTTATTTCTATCTTAAACTCGTAATATTTTTTTACGTCGCACGCGAGTGTAAAGAAGAAAACGTTAGTGTATCGGTCGAGCAGAGATTTTTGTAGAGCTCGCTGTAAGCTTGCTATAGAGGGTAAATAGAGAAGATAGAGAAAAGGAAGATGAAGATAGGATATGGAAAGCTTAACAACGTAATCACGGTTCAAGCACTCCCACAGGATCGTCACATCGACTAGACTACGTTTCTTCCTCTACCTTTCCCCTCGCTCCCCCTATTTGTAGTCAAAAGATAGACACACACAGATCTGCGCGCGTCTATGGACTTTCTCGGTCCTCGGTTCATAAGTCTCGCTTGCTTTAAACTCTATATGCGGGAGACAGGAGTACAAGTACGCGTACGCGGTTAAACAAAGGAGTAACCGAGCTATCTAACGATCGTGCGAGCAGAGTTTACGCGACACACCGTGAAATTGTTGAGAGATACGACGAGACGCGGAAATTATTCGAGTTAATCGCGATTGCATCCGGGCCAACACCACTCGTTAATTTCCAATCCCCTCGAATGCCGCGTTAAACTTCTTTTAAGCCTACCTGTTGCGTCTTCCATTCGACGATCCTTTCCCCGGAATCTGCTGGTTCCGCTGGTAAACATATTCGATGGCAATTACTATCCCCCGTCGTTTCGCGTACCACTTGCTCGAAAACCGATCCCCCCGAGACCGAAGCGAGGGAAGCGTAACACCGATAAGTGGAATTCGTTTGTATAATACGAATAACAAGGGTGGAGGGAAAACACCGGTAACTACTATAAATCTGAGACTCCCTTCTTTGAGACCGGTTACACAGTACAGGATTTACCGCCAAGTTTAGCGCGCAACGAACCACGCCAGGTTTAAAGAATCACCAACCACTCTAACTCCTCCCCACCTTTCCTTCTCCCGTAACACCTAGAGTTATCCTCGGGATTTACTCCCTCACGGACGAGGGATATACACGCGGTCGCAAACACCGGGTTTACACAGAGGTATATACGTACATACGTAATATGGTCAAGGTGATTTGGTAGCTTATGCCGTGGTGGATTCTACGATACACACACGTACACGCTAGCTAAGTATTAGCTAAGTTCATTGGTAGAAAGAAGTCGCGCAAGACGGCACAGGGGCAAGAGGGGTCTCTCGCTAGGACCGCCTATCCCCACTTTAAACACTTTATTGACAAACCTGACACCACACAATATGTATAATAGTAAAATTCAAAATCGTAAAAATTAGTTTTCCTTCGTGAAGTTACGTTAGGATCTAAGACTGGAAAGACTGAAATATTTTCGAAACTATTAAACTATTGTTGCAAATTGTAATTAGGCTATGCATATTATGAGAAATAAAAAAATTTTTATATGTTATATGAATACTTTGGATCAGTATATGTGACAAATATCATAATAGAAACAAAAATGCGTGTGAGAATAGGCGTTTTCTTTCACATTAATCACTCAGATCCGCGTTTCTTCCTCTACGAGATTTCTTTCCATGAACGCTAATTTATTCTGTGGGATTTACACTGTTTCTTAGCTATTTTCTTTTTTTATGGACAAAAAATGAAGGATAGCATCGAATCCCTTCGCTCTGCTAGTCGATTTCCAGTTTGTTGATAGTTTTGCATTCCCGTAATCCGTCGGGAATTAATTCGATTCCGTTGGTTTCGGAAAGTTAATGCGCTCGAAAATAGCCGTCGCATCGATTGCGTTCACAGAGACGAGAAACTCGTCTAATTCTTGAATTTATCGCCAACATTGCGTTGTACATATATCTGGTTTGCGTGCGATCTTCCAATGAGATTAAATATTTCGCTCTGCCAATTTCATCGATCTCTGGTAATCGCAATGTCCGATCGTTTCCATCACAGGATATCGCTCGATTTCGGATCGATGGATACGTCTAGCGATTCTTTCGCGACACGGAATTCCACAGTAAATATGGGGATCCGGTTCACTTTTCTCTCTCTCTCTCTCTCTCTCTCTCTCTCTCTCTCTCTCTCTCTCTCTCTCTC